TTATAAAACAATAGGTTGCGGTCACCGGTGACCGCTTGGTGTGTGACAGTTTAATTGAGAAGCTGACATTGTACTTCTCATGTCGTAGGTTGATGAGTACAATTTAATAAGAGGTGTGTCTATTGCTTTATGTACACCGAGCATAACAAAATTCTAGGCTATTATATGCTACAAGTTTGAATACCGAAAATTAAAACTCCAACTGATGGCCTGGGATCTCCAGTTCATTTCTGGATCAGACAAAGAACTTCTAATCTATGCTTCATTTACTATGGCTTTGAGGGGTGAAAATTATCCAACGACTTCTCTTACCTTGAGAGAGGCAAGAGGGAGTGTCAGGCTCTTACACAAAACCACGCCGTTTCTACTTCCACTTCGACCTGGAGCCCCGGTAACCCGCAAGGCCGTCCACAGCCGCAGTTCCTTTGTGTGTAAGTTTATATAGAAACCTTCATGTGTAAAGATGTCTTTATTATCCAATACATAGTAGTATGAAACAGATGTCTAATGTAATGCCATTAATATTTTTTTTTGCCACGTTTATACATTATCAATTAGATACTATGTATTCTTATCTTAAAGTCGTTAAATATTTAATATCTGGGTAATACCTATGGAAGTAAATGGTATTACAGCATATCAACCTGTCTCCACTTAATATTAGATTTTGAACTGTAACTGTTACATGTTAAGGTTGTAAACATGTTGATAGTCAGGAGTATTTTGAGCTGCAGCCTGTCTGCAATTACTTATCTATTTGCTTCAGTTGAATAGGTCATAAAGTTATACAATTTTATTATTATTTTATCTTAGGATATAATTTTTGCTCCATTTAGCTAACAATTGACATTTTGACAAAGTAATTTGAGTAATGAACAACCTCGTTGATCAAATTACCAAGTTAAGGGTGTCTTTGGGTTTCATTTAGCGGGTTGAGTAAAATGTTACTGAAATTTTCTATTTTCTCAGAAATTACACAATCTGACATTATGATCAGTAGGCTCGGATCCTTTTAGATATATGAGACTCATATCATAACTGATGACAAAAATAAGTTAGTTCACATTTTTATAATAACTTTTTAATGGGACAAGCCCGTCACAACCTCCCAAAACCGCTGCAACTCCTGTAAGCCAGGATCTACAGTAGATACAACCATGAAAACACCGGAACATTGAAGTCCGGCGCGTCCCAGGGACATGAGTAACTGTCTTGGTTCCCGCAACGAAATGCATCAGAAGATATTATAAGAGGAGAAGAAGAAAAAACTATAATTTCCATTTTTATAATAACTATCGTGAGACATATCAAATTAATACTCTCGTGAATATACTGAGACAAGGTCGCCGCGACCGCGCACGCTGCTCATGAGGAAGAACCCCTCTGTGGTTCGAAACTAGTAGAGCTTTTCTCAGTATATTCACGTGAGTAACCCGCGATTTTAGTTAATTTAGTTCGCATTTTTAATATGTGCTTTACCTCTTTATATAAAAAAGGGTTAATAATGACAATTCTAATTTTAATATGAGTAATGGACTTCAACAAAAACTGTATCTCTAAAATGTGTTTATAAATTGGTGCCTGTCTACCACAGGGGACACGTAATTCTTAATTATCATTCTACTATTGTTCGACTTCCCTAATTATAATCATTGTCATAGTTTAGTCATCATTTTAGTAGGTAAAGGTCAGGTTGGGTAATGAGACTAATTTGTATCACTATTGATGATCGTTATTCTTTCTTATACCTCTATTTAAAGACTTCTAGATTTTTTTGATAAAATTTACTTGTTCGTATTTGTGTCTTCAAAAGTTCTTTATTGAATTCATAACTCTATATCATTATGTAATAAAATAGAAAATCGGTTGTAACTATAATTTTGGGTACCGTACCATGTTGTCCATACAGCGGTTTTGAAGGTCTTTTTTCTCGAATGCAAACATAATGTTTTCGGTTCGTATTTTCCGGCATCCTTTCCAAGCAATAACCATTTACGTATCGGAAAACTATACAACCTTTTTGGAAGTTTCCATCTTCTATTGAATAACCCTTTGTTCTTTATTTCAATTACGTGTTCGAAGTTTACTCACAAAATATTCATTATTCAACCATTTACACGCGACAGCTAATTAAAGAGAGCTGTTACATGTTGCGTAAGGTCAAAAGTAAAGGAATTAAATATAAATATGTAGTAATTCATGCTGTCACACAAACGATTATCACAGAGCGCAATCGTACACAACAAAGTTGTCAAAAATTTCAACTCGGTGAAAAATTTAAGACATGTTTCATAAACTTACAGTTATTAATAAGAGGAATTTATCGAAGGCAACATATTTATCATTGACATTAATAGTATTGTAAGCGCGACAATGTAATTCGAAATACCTTGGATTATGACAGTTTTATCTCGTTCACAAAGTAATCTCCTCATTAAAACTTACCGACGAATAATAAATAAAAATAAACGATAACATCTCAATTTTAATGTCTTGACCAACAATGACGTTACTTGTAATTGATATCGTACCTTAAATAATACGTTATAATCGCAATCCATTATAAAAAGGTACATCGTGGAATTGTGTGTGTGTAATCGTGAGTAACTGAAGATAGGTCTCCGTAAAATGGTTATGTGTACAATTATAATGTCATTAGCAAATGTCAGAACGTCGCTACAAGGCCACTGCGTGCGGAACGCGTATGCAACCACCCACGGGTAAAATATTCCTTGTAACTAATGGCCTATTAAAGTTCCAAGTTGGACGACGCCTTTAGCCTGTGCGTTATTTTTGATACTAACCCTAAATTGGTTCGGTAATCTACAAGTAATTGTTTGGAGTGGGCGTGTCAGTTTTTAATTATAATTATATAATTGCTCTTTTGTATGGAAGTTTCAAAACCGGTAGTGGAGGTATGAATGGCCTTATTGTGGGAGTGAGAACGTTGGACAAGTATTTAGGGCACGGTACCTAAGGAATTTAATAAGCCTTTGTGATAATTTGATTTAATACGTTGAGTCAGAGGCCGTCTTATTAACTCTTGTCAGTCATTTGTGTGAATCCAACTTACTCATGATGTATTCATTAAGTTATTGAATTGTTTAACTCAATCAAACGCCTATTTGTCATCACCATAATGAACGGTACATGTTGACGTGTCAATATTTATGATCCTTATTTCGTTGCAATGAAGGTGGGTTTTCTTATCCATAAAACATGCAGTGATCGTTTGTCTACATTCATTAGTGTGTAAATATGCGAATTACATTATCATCCTGATGATTACGATCCATAACTAGAAATACGTATAATAATAGGTATTTTACAAACGCTAAAGTATTATTGTGTAAATCTAACAAATGTTAGATTTCAACACAAAGCTGTGTACATAGTAAAGTCAGAAACGCTTGACTGTATAATTTGTGGTGTTTCATTACTTCATATTTCTTAGTACGTAAAATAACATAAGTGGATGATGGATTACACTCCTGGGGCAGCGTCGTTTAGTGGTAATCTTTGTTTAATTTAATTTTAATAGTCCGTACGCCACTGCTAGGTTAGTTCGTGTGGATTTTTATAATGTTCCGCGTTTAAATTTGATTTTGAGCGGGAAATTTTTTGAGGTTATGTCATTGTTTTTGCTGTATCGGTGTGACCAACGCTGGTATTAAATTTTTTTTCTATTTTTATTTATTTATTATTACATTTCAGTACAGTTTTAAACCATTTAAAAGTATAATTTTAAAATCACAGCTGTACAAAGTATTAAAAAAATGGCTACTGTTCAATTTAATAAGAATACATTTATTGGGCGCTTTGGTTATTCATATATTTTGTCATTGAACATAATTTACATAGAAAAAGACACTTCATAATACGCTTAATATTATAATAGAATTATAAACCACAACCACCGGTAGATACTGCTGCCTACATTCTGTAAACTTATGAATTATTTATGTAGATATGTTAAGGAATTTTATATTTAACATTCAATAAGAGTGTATAATGACAATTTTATTGCCTTAACTGTCATGTCAATGTGCCCATATAAGTTATGTTGTATCAATCCAACTTGTCAATGTTATATTTACGCGTATTAGAAATGTTTAGATCGACCATTTTATCTTAGAACTTTGTGTTGAAAACCAAATGTTATAGAACCATCTATTTGATAGTTTCAAAAGTAAATTCCTTTACCTTTTCATTACGATACAATATTAAAAAAATAATCGCACTGCCATTGATTTAGCGACGAATTCAATTTTCGATTTTTCTAACAAAAGTTTAAGAAAGTGTGCTAATTGACGCAAAAATGTGATGACGTCATATGTGTTTCGATTTCATGGAAAAGTATCGTTTTTAACATATCAATTAACGTTTCGATTTTGACTAGTTATCAACTACCGTATTGCAATACGTATTGTAAATAAATTACCTACTAGTATCGTCTAAGGGACTTGGGCGGGTGTCAAGTTATTCTGGTTTGTGGGTAGATTTCCGTGTAATTATAATTCAATAAAAAAACCAGTAATATAATCAGATCTCGTTCCAGTATATTACAAAATTAGCCATACTATAACTTATAAATGAACTTATATCTTGGTCTTATGGTTGTTAACTGATAATTAATATGGGAGCAATAATCCAAGATTACAAGGTACTGCCTCTTAGGATTTTCTTACGATTGAAGACATTTTCGGTATTTATAATAACTATCGTGAGACATACTAAATAAAATAAAATCGCGGGTTACTCACGTGAATATGCTGAGGAAAGCTCTACTAATTTCGAACAATAGAGGGGTCCTTCCTCATGAGCAGCGTGCGCGGTCGCGGCGATGTCGCGCAGCTCACTCTAGAGCTTTTCTCAGTATATTCACGTGAGTAACCCGCGATTTTAGTTAACATTTTCAGTATGTTTTTCTCTTAATAAGAATACTGTTCCAATAAAATCTCAAAACAACTTATACTAAGATCTAACCCTTTGTCCACCAGGTCCAGACATCCCAGGATTCCTCCTCCAGCCGTTCCGCAAGCCGAAGCGAATTAGAACCGCCTTCTCCCCGTCACAGCTCCTGAAGTTAGAACATGCGTTTGAGAAGAACCACTACGTCGTTGGTGCTGAGAGGAAGCAGCTAGCACAGGCCCTTAGCCTTACAGAAACACAGGTTAGTTTACATTTGAAGATTTTTAGCTTATAATGGAAACCTAAGTTAAAGAAGACATATTCGTTTACACGAATAAACATGAACTTCTTGCTCGTTCTTTACCATAGGAATCTACACCTTTCCAAGTAAATAGCTTCATTAGAGGACCGACCGGCAGACTGACACATTTAATTTTTTTTTTTGATGTTCAAATGTGCCTCTCTGGTCGTTCTAATTGAAATAAATGAATTTAATTTTGACATAAATATAGAACAAATAAAAAATGAAAGTAGGCTAATATTTATAAAGAAGCAACTTTTTTTTTATATTTGATGGGTCGAAATACAGCCAAATTAAAAAAAAGCAGGTGCGAAACATGCCAGTACAAATTTTTCGTACCTACATTTCATGTCAATACGTTTTACAGTTGGTAACATTTTGAAATGTTAGATAAATTTCCAAAACTTCAGGATCTAGATTTCTAGAAAAATATAGGTGTCTACATCCGTCATACTTACATTTCCTATGAGGATAGGCTGAGAAGTTGACAGGCGTGAAGTTATCTTCACGCCTGTCTTTGATAGGGGTTGGCAGAGACTATGGACCGCCAATTGCTGCGATTCTTACATACCTCTTTCGATTCATCAACAGTCATCAGCCGTTCATCATCATCATCATCATCATCAACAGCCTATAAATGCCCACTGCTGAGCAAAGCCTCTTCTCACACAGAGAAGGTTAAAGCATTAATCACCACGCTTGCTCAATGCGGGTTGGCGATTTCAAACTTATAATTAGAAATTATAAGCCAAGGTTTCCTCACGATATTTTCCGTCACCGTTTGTCAGTGGTGTCTAAATAATTTTAGATCATCAGCCGTTAAGCGTATATTATTATTAATGCTACAACACTTCTGTCAGTTCGTTCATATTTCATCTTTTTTCTAGCAAAGTACCTCTAGTTGGTGGTACCAAATCACCTAATTTCTAATAATATAAGCCAGTCAATAATAACACGTAAAAGATAGTGTAACATCAAAAAATAATGTTGTAATTAACGTTCATATTAGTTGAAAACATTGCGATCATTGTTTAATTTAATATAATTAATATCAATCTGGTCAGAGGTCGTGCCGTCACAGATTTCGCCCATTAATATTGACATATTGCTCTATACATTAAAAATAACGCTATAAAATAATTTCCTAGTATTTATTGTTATCTTAAAGTAAATAATAAAACATTTAGTATTAATTAGATATCGTGATATTGTGAAAAAATTGCTTTTATCACATTATTTATATAATAATTTAGACGTTTAATAATATTTTGTTTTTAATTTTTGTTCTTTTTTTGCTTCGAGACTTCATACACGTGTTGGGATATAATGACAATTAATGATAGTAATTTTGGCTGCTGTTTCGTTTGCTCATCATTCTCTTCGTCTCATTTGTCTTTGTACCTAAATTCATCAAAAATAGTTCAGTAGTTTTGCGTAACAGCATAAAAACAAATTCACTTACGTATTTTTATCTTCTGCGTAGTATTTTACTACAAAAAGGTCGCTATTATACATACTTATTGCTGCATATATCCCGAAGGTAGACAGATGTGTACAATATATTTAACACGGATAAACTTTTTATTTAAGAATAATACATTAGTAGGTTCAGGCGACGATCACATCAACTCCCAATAATTTATTTCATGATTACATGAGTTACTAGATTATGATAAACAAATACAATAATTATTTTCAAAGGGTAATGCTAACAATATTTATTCAATATAACGATAAGTTTTCAATATTTAAGGTGGCATTTTAAAACTGCCTTGTGGATCATAACTTGGGGTGGATGATATGGAACTTAATACATCAGATATTTAAAAAACCATCGCCTGCTCAATATTCAATTCTTTATTGCTTTTCTACAAATATAAAAACAGATTTCACATTTATTAAAAAATTCATTATGAATCAATTCCCGAGACTTTTGAAGCCCTCTCACCTCTGAACATTCCAAAACCATTAAAAATTTTCGGTTTCAAAAAAAATGTGGTTTTTCTCAGCACGGAATTTAACATTGGGTCACCAGCTATTTACATTGTATTATGTGCACTTCTGTCTACCCCTATGTAGATATTAAGTAATGTAAGCGCCGTTTTATGTTATGTTAATCAAATGTTTTATTTTAAAGACAGCATAATTATTTCTACTAAAAACTATATAATTACGTAGGTTTTGGTCAAGCAACGTGTAAGAACTTTTCGTCTATAAATCATAACTAAAAATAAATAATTGAACAACATAACTTCTATTAATTTTGAAACAGTAATTAGTCTAAAGTCGTGCTTTCCACTTGCTAATAGTTTTAGCTATTAATAAAAGTCAAACATAACTAAATAAAAGAAAATTTATTAACATTAAATTAGTAGAATTTCATTTCACATTTATTGCATAAAAACTACGAAATTGTTATAATTATTTCGCTGTGGCAACATTAATAATGTTTTTGTGTAATTATTTATTTGTGAATTATTAGATATTTATTTATCACGCAATATGAAGAAAGTTTTAATTATATTAAATGACTTGTTATGCGATTAATAACGGCGAAGGTGATTAATTTTCTCGAGGAAAAAATGTAAAATGAAAGAGAAATCTGGTCAGACGACTGAAGCCTGAGGATGGCAGGCTCGCATTGCATGTTGGCAGTTCAAGTTAACCCTGTGGTGCCGGGAGGGACATTATATGTCCCCATGTCTACTTTTCGTATCGTAAGAGCCGATCAGGGGACTATACATTAAACAAACTTTTGACAGCAGCGCTGTTTAATGAACCCAAATCTCTTAAGCTGAGATCTCAACCACCTAGCCTGCCCTGGGCAGATAACGACAGTGGACTCAATTTTTGTGAAGATAAGGCCCAATCTTGTGCTGCATACTAGCCAATTTCATTATGATACTTAGCTGTACAATTCATATTTGTTAGGTTCACCCAAGATCATGTTTTTTTATTATGGAATAAGCCGGTAAACGAGCAGACGGATCACCTGATCGTAAGTAATCGGCGTAGCCCATGGGCACCTGAAACACCAGAGGCGTTGCAAATGCGTGACCAACCTTTTGGGAATTGGGAATTTGAGTATTGTGGGGGATTTGGAGACTAGGGAGAGGGGGATAATTGGGCCTCCAGTAATCGGTAATGTAAGGGCTGTAACTATAATCGCCCAAGATCACTACAAGGTCGAGACACATCTTTCCACCTCAAACTGAACAAATCAAAGTCAAAATGAATTAAAAGAAATAATAACGGACATTATCGTAACAATGCAATCACGATAAGAGTATCAAACGTTGCGTCTAATTGTTCGAAACTGAGCGAAAAAACCGCTTTAATTACTGGATCATTAGGCGTTGGCGTGCGTGTGCGCAGGTACAGTCAACACCCGCGGTGGCTAGATAGATGCATGTATTGTTTCTTTGTTCGATGATTTCTTTATCGTGTTTATTGTGTGTTTATCTAGCTGTTTAATGATCTGGAGAGGGTTTGGTTTTTGTTTTCAATTAATTATCTACGTTGGGTTATGTATAATGCATGGGTTTGCGTAGCGTTGGGTGAGCTATTGCAAGTTAGGCTGTTCTTTAACCTGTGAAGTGTCGGAACGCAGATGTGTCTCATATATCGACAGACAATAGGTTAAGGGGTAGTAACTATGACTCTCAAGAATAGTGTTGTTTTTATGAGTATTGAAATTTTTTTGTTGTTGCTTTGTGTTACGTCTCTGGTAAATGGGAATATTCGGTAAAATGTCGATAGCAAAAAGTGGATTAATCACTACATTATTTAATACATACAACTATTTCTACTTACGTTTTGCATGTTATGTTGAAAATACTGATTTGATGAGCATATTTTTATGAAGCCATAATCGATTGCTGATTTAGACGTAGAGAAATATTAAAGTCAAAGTCAAAGCATTTATTATAATTAAACCATAATTTGGTACTTTTGAAACTTCAATAAATATAAAATAAATAATAGTCTGTCAGTCAGTCCGTTAGTGAAGTTAGGTGAAGTTAGGTGCTCATTCCAAAATGTGGATTCGAATGGAGAAGAACGAGTAAGAATCTCCATTCGTATTTCGTCAAGGCCTTTTATATCATCGGTTACTGAGAACTGTTTTCTCACCTTACTTTCTCACTCTCAAAACTGGTTTACTTTTTTCCTCTTTAATATAGTTGCTAATTGATTATTCTGCTATCGGTGCATAGTGTTGGCAATCGGGTGTGGTCAGTTACTAATACTAATAGCTCAACCTAGTTTCTAAACACATTTGCAACGTTTTTTCTTAGCTATTAAGTCAGTACTGTGTTAAATGTAATTGTATGATTTATTCACAGTTTTTAGCTGTTCTGTCTAATTATTCGACGGGAAAATTAATTACTTCAATGACGGTATGTTGATTTGTAAATGATGAACATTAATATACCTTTGTAGTAAATTTTTGAAGTGGGGAAAATCACCGAATGTCTTCTCCCGCCTGGGTGAGGCGGAAGGGAGTGTCAGACTCTTAACATACTAAAAACTACGCCGTTCCTACTCCTGCACTTTTATCCGGAGCCCCACGCACGGTAACCGTTTACGGTCTCCGCGGCTCCATATGGGCATCAGCATACGTATGATATCTGATCATAGAGTAGTGTTTTTTTTGTCTTTTTTATTTATTTTTTCTTTTTTTTATGATTTTGCTGGTTTAGGGTTATGTCATCAACAGCCTGTGACGGTCCAATCACACTAATATAAGTAAATGTGAAAGTTTCTTTCTTCCACGCTGAAACTACTGAACGGATTTTGATGTTTGGTATACAGCCAGGGTATGGGCTGACTTAGATGATAGAATAGTTTTATCCCGATCAAATGCTCCTATGGTGTAAAACAAGAATACAGTGTAAAGCCGCGGCATAATGGCCTTGCTTGGCAGGCGGGTAGACAATCGGTGTTTAAATGATTATGTCTTA